ATTACAAAATGTTTATTTCTTAAAGCGAAGATGTTTTTTTTTTGGTTATTTTGAAGAAATTTTCTACGATACAAATTTGATAGGGAAATATGTTCTTTTTCTTTTTTTTTTATAAAAAAATTTTACGAGAAATTTTCAAATCTTTGAATTTTTTGAAAAATATATTGTTAATAATACAATGCGTATAGGTTATTTTTTTTACTCTGGTGTAATATTATTTTGATGTTTGTTTGTTTAGGGTGGTTTCGTTGATGAGTCTAGCAAAGTCGTCACGTTATTTTACATTTGAATAACAGAACGCCACTCCTTTTGTTACCTTCAACTTGTTGGATGACAGTGAATCGTCTGTTTTTTTCATCATAATGGTAAATCACTATGAGATATTAATTTATTAATTCTGAAGTGTAAAAAGTAAGATATATTGAAGTTTTCATTATAATGTCATATAACCCTTTTTATATAAAATTTTACGAACCATAAAGTTGTACGACTTTTATTTTTAATTTATAATAATCATATACAAATCATTACTTTTCTTTTTTTACTATATTCATTCATTTATCATTTAATGTATTTATAAAAAGAATAATTCTATTCACATAACCTTTCTTCTATAAAATTTTACAGATCTCTCTAAAGTCGTACGAAATTTATTTTTATTTTATAATAATCATATACAAATTATTACTTTTCTTTTATTACTATATTCATTCATTTATCATTTAATGTATTTATAAAAATAATAATTCTATTCACATAACCTTTCTTGTATAAAATTTTACAGATCCCTAAAATCATATGAGGTTTATTTTTATTTTATAATAATCATATACAAATTATTACTTTTTCTTTACTATATTCATTCATTTATCATTTAATGTATTTATAATTAAATAATGTATTTAAAATAATATTTCTATTCCAGCATATAAAAAAGAAACATTTACTAATTTTTGCCGTATTTGGCAGTCTGCAATATTTAATTTCCAGAGTCTGGTATGCGTCTTACTTCTGTTAATATGTACCTGTACTTACATCAGATCTATCGCTCCAAGTTTGTTAGATAATCGTTTAGGAAAAGTTGGGTAAGTACGAATGATTTTATTTTATATATTTGTGAATTTAAACGTATCAGAGAATAGCATGAAATATAAAAGATTTTATTGATCTTTAACTGCATTTATATGTTAACTTATATCATGTTATATTTTCAATTACTTGTGCACAATATTTTTATACAAATTCTAATATTATTAAATATAAATAATTATATATAAATGCGTTGATAATTGTAATAATTATTAATTTATTATATATTAATAATTAATCATAATGGTATATATTTTCTAATGATCCTTATTAATATGTGTTTTCTTAATCAGGTTCCTTGGTTTATTTTGGAAATCTGCACGAATTGGAGAAAGGAAAAGTCCTTATGTGGCATTAAGTTGTCTTTTCATGGCATTTAGTATATTATTTTGGACATAGAATAGCAACTTTTTCAAGGAACTTCTATAGATTTGTACAAAGATATATTGGGATGAGATATGGAAATGTTTGTAACATTTAATAACGTGTGAATGATATAATAGAAACAATGAATGTATGACAGACACGTATGTTTAATATTTCTTTGATGATGAAACAAATATGAAAACAAAAAAAAAAAAAAAAAAAAAAAACATATTTCTTTGAGGCCAACTGTAATTTATAAAACAATAATCATTTCTAATTGCATTGTATCATTTATTTATCAACATGTTATTCCTTCCAAAGCTTGATAATTACATGATCTTGGGAGCATTTCCTTTTTTTTTCTTTTCTTTTTTTTTGTTTGTTTTTTTTTCTTTTCTTTTCATTTTATTCTCACAATATATTTTCTATAAACAACAACATTTTTTTCTTTTTTTTTTTTTTTTTTTTTTTTTTTTAATACAATTAATATAGGATTATTATATTGAGTATCGTTTTGTAATAATATATATATATATATTGGGTTTATTAAATAGGTACATTTATCATATCTTTAAAGTCGCAGATATTCTAAAACTTCCTTGGTGATGCTAAACCACACAATGCGACCTAAAAATTGTACTCTGCAGTAATCGACGTTCACTGTCATACATAATATCGAATGCAATATTTTTCTTAGTTGTATGTATGTATGTATGTATGTATGTATATATGTATATATGTATGTATGTATGTATGTATGTATGTATGTATGTATGTATGTATGTATGTATGTATGTATGTATGTATGTATGTATGTATGTATGTATGTATGTATGTATGTATGTATGTATGTACTTATTTGTTTTTATACATTCGTTTATCAACGTTAATATTGTTGACTTATGTCGTTTTATCTACAGAGTAAGATATGGTTTTTGATTATGCGGTAAATTTAATAAAACTATATGTAATACATACATATAATTGATACAATAGAAATTATTATTTTAATTTTGCTATAGAAAATATAATTATCAAGTAAATATTGCAGATATTTGTTGATTAAGAACTAATTATTTATGGTATAGCAAATGAACTATATAAAAGAAAAAATGAACAAACAAAGAAAAAAGAGAAAAAACATAACAGAAATATATCTCGTACTTTGTCAATGAAAATTTAACTTAAATCACACGATCACAAGTAATTTATATGAATTTATCGTGTTCACCTCATCCACCATAATATATATTTTTGTTTTCATTGTTTATATCTACATAAAAATAGAGGATAATACTACGATATGTATAAAATGATAAAGCGATATACTTTGAAAACTGATATGTATTATCACTACGTTCAAATTTTGTTTACATTGAAACATTGTTTTTATCATTTTGGTGCTTTTTCTTCTATGAGGTAGAAAAACGACCATATGAATATTCGTATATATATATATATATAAAGATTATAATAAATATGATTATTATGAATTAGGCATTTCTTTTTTGTTTTTGCTATCGTGCATCAAATACGAAAAAGAAGATTTTTCACGTAAAATTTTTCTCTTTTTTTTTTCCTTTTCTTCTTCTTTTTTTTTTTTTTTGGAATATGTCAAGCCAATTAAACTATTATAATAATATTATATACACACAATTGTGTTTTGTCTTACATACAATTATTGTCACTTTGTGAATAAAACTTTTAAAGCAGAAGTACAATGTAAGAACGATAGAATAATTGTATTATTTTGATAGAAAAATTCTAACCATCGATAAATTAAAAAAAAAAAACGATTAAAAAAAAAAAGGACGATGGGCAAGGTGAACAGCGCATTCCTTAAAATTACTTCGAATAGAAATGAGAGCACTTGATACGATCAAATTATATATCTCCGATATAAAATATTCTCTTTTCTACGTACTCTTATTTTCCCTTAATATTATACACTATTTATTTAATAAATATACTTATTTAAACGTGAACTTAATTACAAAAGGCGATAAAAAAGTTTATCTAAGATTAAAAACGACGCGATAATTATTGGTCAATTTAAATAGTTATTACCATAATAAGGTAAATTACTTCATTACCGACGGTCGAGAAAAAAAAAGTAATGATAAAGAAATTATAGAAATAACAAGCAACGCCCTCTATACAATTTACGTCGTCTCATAATATATATATATATATATATATGCATGTATGTATGTATGTATGTATGTATGTATGTATGTATGTATGTATGTATGTATGTATGTATGTATGTATGTATGTATGTATGTATGTATGATTATGAATCTTCCATATATGTATATATATATACATATACATAAACACACACATATATATATATACATATATGTATGTTTTATATGTATATACACACACATATATATTATTACTGAGCAAGCTCTCGATACGTCGATAAATAAAGACATCTTATTATTTCTTATATTTATAAGTTAGTACGCTAATTATTTGTCTGCGTTCGAATAAAATCGAATAGTTTGATTCGGTAGTGCCTATTCGCTCGTTATGCGAAAATGCATTTTGACTTACAAAATGATTATATTGTTTAATTAGGTAATACGATTAAAATAAATTACAAAGGATATTCGTTTCAATCGCAACGCCATTATCATTATCAGACTGATGTCTGTCCTTTGTTATGTATACCATAATATTTCTCTCTCTCTCTCTCTCTCTCTCTCTCTCTCTCTCTCTCTCTCTCTCTCTCTGTCTCTCTCTCTTTCGCTTTTTTCTCTGTTATCGAGCAAATACTTTTAGTTGTAGGTTAACCGGCGACAATGGAATTTAACGTCGAAACGTGTACCTTTATAAAGACTTATATTTATAGGTGTCGTTACATAACGATATGCAAAAGGTAAAAGCGTATAGAAATGAAGCTTTCTATTACCACCTAACGTACGAGCGCAAACATATCTAATATATTACACGGGCAAGTATCCACTTTTGATTTCTTATTTCTTGTGTTTGTTCTTTTTTTTTTGTTTTGTTTTGTTTTTTTTTGTTTTTTTCTCTTCTTTTTTCTTTTTTTTTTTTTTTTTTTTTTTTTTCTTTTAATGTAACATCGGCTTATACGTGAATGTTTCTATGTTTATTGGTTTATGATGCATCGTTAGGTGGAATTATACAACTCAGCATCCTTTGATATTCTCGCCTGTTTTACAATTTATTTTGTATTTATTTTATCTATTTATTTTTTTTTCTTTTTTCTTTCTTTTTTTTTTTTTTTTTTATTTATCGATCGAATAGTTTAAAATTTGAGGTTATAAAAAGTTTCATTCAGACGAGAACGAAATGAAAGGAAACGTTGTTAAATTACATAAACGTTATCAAAGATTTTTAATCGCTGTATCGACGTCATTCGATGTTCTTTTTTCTTTTTTTTTTTTTTAACCTTTTTCTTTTTTTTTCCTTTCTTTTTCTTTACTTTTTTATTACGACATTCGTCGTAAAATCTTTTTAACCTCTAAATTCCTCCTTTTTTTTTCCTTCTTCTTTTTTTTGTGGTTATGTTAGCAAATACTCGAACGAACGAACGAACGAACGGAACGGCACTAACGATGCGTTCAAAACATGACCCTTTACGTTCGTTTATGTATGTATAAGGCTTTCGACATACTAATCCGTTATATATATATATATATATATATATATATATATATATATATATATATATATAAAAGTACCCCGTAATTTTCTATCGAAAAAAGTAAATGAAGGCGATCGATCGATCGATTTCGACAATGAAGGCTTCCTTCAAAAATACCCGAGATTAAAACACGTTCGATGAGTATTAACAAAAAAGCAGGACGCCTCTCGTCCATTTACTCGTATTTTTTATCTTTTTGTTATTATTATTATTATTATTATTATTATTATTATTATTATTATTATTATTATTATTATTATTATTATTATTATTATTATAATTATTATTATAATAATTATTATTATTATTTTTAACTTTTCCTCTCTCGTTTTTCTTTCTCTCTATCTCTCTTTCTTTTTTGATTTCTTTTCTCTTCTTTATTTTTTTCTCCTTCATTCGCGAGGAGACGGGGACAAAAGGTTCATAAAAAATACATTCGTAAGCGTTCAATATCTGATAGAACTTGTTTGAAATTCACAAAGAATTATACCCTAACACGGCTTAATGTCCTCTTTACTCTTTCCATTATTACCACATACCTTATCATCTTTTTATTAACACCGTACGGGGGGGAGGGAGGTCCAGACACAGCCTCGCAAAGGATGAGAGAGAAAAAAGGGGGGTTGAGGGGTATGAGGGTGATGTGAGTTGGGTGAGAGGGATGAGGGTTAGGTGAGGGGTGGTTCTGAGTGTTAGAAGAATATGATTGAAAGTGAGACCAACGAATGGCGGTGGTGGCTGTTGCGGTGGTGGTGGTTTGTTGTTGCGGTATTTCTGGTGAAGATTGGTTGTATGGATATATATATATATAATATATATATATATTTATGGATATAGTAATCAAGAGAAACGTATATAACTGATTTTATCGTATGGTCGATAAAAACGTTAAGCAGATCGTATATATTTGTTTGTTGAAGATAAAATTGCCGATGTTCGCGACATTTTCTACCTTCGGTTCCTTCTTAGATCCGCTTTTTTTCTCATCGGTGTAACCATTATTCTCTTTTACGACGATCGATGATGAGCCACGTGGATCAACGGTAGTCGATGTCGTTGAGTATTTGTTACCGAAGATCAATCGGGATGTACTCTTCTGCATCGCCGGGGTGCTCAGCTGGTGGAAAACTCGATTGACCGTAGAGACCCCAAGAATGCTTTTTGATTTACCACCTTTGTTCTGTTTTCTCCAGGTTGGCGAGGTCGCACGCGTTGGTAACGTAGCACGTTCTATCTCTAAAAACGAGAAAATATACGTACATGTAATTTTTTTTTCTTTTCTTTCTTTCTTTCTTTTTTTTTTTTCTTCTTCTTATCCACAAATTTATTTTTCCCCGCATATATAATGTAAAACATTTTCGGACATAAGTTTATATAAGATCTTTTTTTTTCTTTTTTTTTTTTTCATCCATTTGATCTCAATAATACGTGGTATAAATTTGGTACCATTATTTTTGGACATCTTGTATATATATATATATATATGTATATATATATACATATGAGAAAATTTATAAATTTATTGGAAGTAATGGTAAGGTTAAGAAACAATGTTAACATATTCTTAATCGAAAAATTCAATTGGGTATAATGATAAAATTTTTTTGACATCGATAAATACTATACGAGCAATATCAGAATTTTTAATACTTTTTTTTGGCTATTACTTTTTATTTATTAGTATATATATATATATTTATTTATTTATTTGTTTTTTTCTTTTTAATAAGTTCACATATAGAACACAAGTTTTTTTAGAAAGCTACTGGGATGAATATATTTAATTCTTTATTGTGAGAGATTTAGATTTATTAATCATCCTCTGAAATCATCCTCGAAATATTAAGACTAGATGAATACTATAATAATAAACAAATAATAATAATAATAATAATAATAATAATAATAATAATAATAATAATAATAATAATAATAATAATAATAATAATAATAATAATAATAATAATACGTATTATAATAAAAAAAATCTGATGTAATCAAATGACGATTTACAAAGTCATTAGAAATTTGACAATTTTCTTTTCAACCTAATCGAAGATTAATGATGCGTATCATAAATGGTATATCTTATGAAAGAGATAAATTCGAAGATCTAAGTAAAGATTGAGAGTTTGAGATGAAAGAAAGAAAAAGAAAAAAAAAAAAAAAAGAAAAAAAACAAACAAACAAACAAGCAAACAAAAAAAGCAAAAAAAAAGAAGAGAAGGGAAAGAAGAATGAAAAAAAGAAAGTGAGTAAAAAAGGAAGAAAAAGTAAAAAAGGAAATTGACATATTTTCATCCCATGACTTACCATATACCCTGATAGTGGCTTCGGCTTTTCCCATACTAGAGGATGCCGAACACGTGTATTCTCCTAAATCCGTCTTCTGAAGACGCTTTATCTTGAGCTCGATCGTCGTCTTCCATTCTTCCTCCGGTTGGCTACGTTCGTCGATCTCGTATCTTCCGCTACATCGACACATCGTTTTCGCTTAGTATCAGGGTGATGAGGGGTGATGAAGGAATTGAACGATTGATGGAAATCGAATCGATTATATTCCAGAGAGAGAGAGAGAGAGGGAGAGGGTGGGAGAAAGAGGGTGAGAGGAAGAGGGTGGGAGGAAGGGAGAAAGATCTTTGGAAGCTCAGAGAAGCTCTATGGATATGATTTACGTCATTTCCGACACGTACCCGCTCATGATCACTTGTTCCTTCCGGGTCCACAGGTTGATCGTCTTTGGATAAGCTTCGATTGAACAGATCAATGAGACATCCGTGTCCAATGGCGAACCCAATAATTGATTACGCACTTTTGCAATTGGGGCGACTGAAATGAAGATAACAAAAAGAATTCCTTTAATGATTTCTTCAATGTTGGATTTATTAGAAATATTTTCTAATTTGGGTATTCGATTTAAATCGAATTGTTAATTATCGATTCTCTCTCTTTCTCTATTCCATTCTCTTTAAACTCTTTAATAAAATTTTGCGAAATATTTCTTTTCTTTTCTTTTATTTTTCTCTGATTTCTTTTTCTCCTTTCTTTTTTTTTTTTCTATTTTTCTTTTTTTTTTTTTTAAGGCTGAGACACGTTTACAAATTTTCAAAGAGATTCGAAGATTATTTTCAATAATATATGTGGCGTTTATTTTATTACGAGAAGATAAAAAAAAAAAAAAAAGAAACAAACAAAACAAAAAAGAAAAAAGAAAATATTACGATTAAGTGACTTAGTCGATTTCACGGGAAATTTATTTCGCGTAAGACGCTTCTGCGTGAGGCCCCATATATGAGAATGTTATTTTCCTGTTTTTATTTTTTGTTTTGTTTTGTTTTATTTATTTATTTTTTTTTTTTTTTTTTTTAAGTTTTTAAGGAAATAAGAAGATTATTTTTAATATGGCGTCCACCTTATTACGAATTTGAGAATTAATGAGATGGTCGCAATGATAGAGTTGAAATCGTACAGAATGCCTCAGTAAAGAACGTTGGAAAGATGTTCTCGTTTAAAATATCAAAAAAGATTATTAGTCCATTCAAAAAAAAAAAAAAATGATTTTATCGAAAATATTTTTAACGAATTAAAAATTAATCGAACGATTTAATCGATCTCATTGACACTTTACATATAAATTGCGTCGAACTTGATGATCTTTCATTTCAAATTTCAAAGAGATTTCGAAAGAGTACTTTCAAAGGGATTTCGAAAGAGTACTTTCAAAATGTGTGATTCAATTTATTACATAAAATCTTTTTAATAAAATTGATATATTTATACAACTTGTATGATTTAATACTCTAGTCTATTATACGAGCCACGAATAAATTGGGTTTTTTTTTCCTTTTTTTTTTTTTTTTTTTTTGTTTTTAAATTATTCTACTTGATATAATAAATATCGATTATATCGAACGTTGAAGGGAGAGCCAGTAAAAAATAAACGATCGATATGACAGATCCGATTCCCTTTGGTATTTATTTTTCTCCTTTTTTTTTTTTTTTTTTTTTTTTTTTTGCTTTGCTTTTCCGTTTTTCTCTTTTGTTTTTTTTTCTTTCCTTTTATTTATTTATTTATTTATTTACTTCTTTCTTTTTTTTTTTCTTTTTTTTTTTTTTTTTTTTTTTAGTTTTATTTTTATTTTCTATTTCTATACGTTCGCGTTTACGGCTACTTTGTTAAAGCGATGCGATTCAAATATCGCGTTAAATAAAAATATTTGCACTCTGTAAAATAGAAAAATCAAGAAAATGTAATGTCATAGATCCAAAACAATGATACTTTGTGATATCATGGATGAAGATAAAAAAGGAAAGAAGGAAGATAAAAAATAAGAGTGAAAGAGAGCGAGAGAGAGAGAGAAACGAATAGAAAAGAACAATTTGTTGATAATTTCGAACAAATTAAATGATTATATCTTCAAAATTGTTTCCACATCATTTTACACGATTTTATATACTCGTAAATGTATATTAAATTTAAATTAAAATTAATATCGATCCTATTGTAATTTTAGAAAACACTTAAATAATTAATGAATGATATTTACTTTCAAATTTCGAGGAAAATTTAATAGTTAGTTTCTATAATATATACGTTCGTTTTAATACGAAAAACTTTCTTTAAATTAAAAAAATTAATTAAACGTATATAACTGTTATACGTCAAACCACAATGATTGCTTTTATATTAAATTTCGAATAAATCGAAAGATTAATTTCAAATTGAAAGTGCCGTTAATTTAATTATAAGTTAATACAAAGTTAAAAATTATCGATACGGTCGGGTCTTTTTAATCGATTACGTTAAAATTTTACGAATGATTTGTGACGTTTTTTTTTTTTTTTTTTTTTTTTTTTTCCTTAAATAAATTCCAACGAATAAAAAAATTAATATAAAAATGGCATTTGTCTCATTAGATACATCGATCAAGTTGAAAATTATGATCGAGAGATATGATCGAGAGTATATCGATTCCATTGAAATATTACATATATCTGGGTGAGTATATATAAAACGCTTATATTTTCTTCATAATTTAAGAGCAAATAATATATATATATATATATTATTTTCGAGCTTGTACCAAGTTACATGTACAATTAAAAAAAAAAAAAAAAAAAAAAAAAATTCCAATTTAATCATTATTAAAACAGGTCGAACTCTTCCCACCACCTCCACCCCTCCGTTGTCGATTATACCCGTTAAAATTCATCGAAAATACTATTTTATATTTAATTTCGTTTCACCACTAACACAATTAATTTTGTACACGTTACCTATTTTAATATACATATGTGAACACATTAATGTTTGAGTTTAACAAACACATATCAAAAATACATACACACATTCTCTCTCTCTCTCTCTCTCTCTCTCTTTCTCTCTCTCTCTCTCTCTCTTTGTTTGCCCTGTCTGTAAGTAGTAAAATAATAATTAAATGCATAAAAGCTAAACGAGTAAGAAAATTGTTATCAATTATAACAAAGTAAATAATATGGTCGGTCTGTTTCTCTCTTCCTTTCTTTTTTTCTTTTCTTTTCTTTTTATATAATTTTCTTGTTCTTATTCTTCACAATTTTTATATCCTTCCATCCTTTCATTTTTCTTGTTTACGGAATAAATGGAGAAAAAGATGGGAGGTTGGGGGGGGAGGGGAAGGAGGAGGAGGAGGAGGAGGGGGGCGGGAGAAAAAAATTAGCGAAAACGAGGTGTTACTTACAGTTCACTCTGAGGTAGACCCTTTTGCTGACTGTCGGTGGTACTTCGTTTCTGGCTATGCAAAGATAAGCTCCCATTTGCCTCCTGTCTACCCTCGTTAATTCCAGCTTCTCGCCGGACTGGCTGTCCACTGTAAAATTACCCGTTTGTATGAATATCTCGTTGAAAGTTCACTTACATCAGAGAGAGAGAGAGAGAGAGAGAGAGAGAGAGAGAGAGAGAGAGAGAGAGAGAGAGAGAGAGAGAGAGAGAGAGAGAGAGAGAGAGAGAGAGAGAGAGAGAAAGAGAGAGAGAGAGAACACGAGATCATATACCCAAAAGATATTCTTATACTTACAAACATGTATATAAGTATAATAAGTATTTATTATATAACATCATTCATGAAAATAGTTTATTAGTTTTCCCATATAACAAACAACTGATACGAGGTTATTACATTTTTTATAATATAAGCGATGAGTTTTATTAAATTTTAAATGTTTTATAACGTAATCATTAATAAACATGATATAATTATTTTCCTTTGTTTAATATACAAAGTATAAAATCTATCAATGGGATACTATATTATATAGTTTGAACTTTTATAATTTTTCTACGCACTCTTTTCTTTCTTCTACTACTTTTTTTTTTTCTCCCCTTTTCTTTTCTGTTTTTCTTTTCTTCTCTTTTTTTTTTTTTTTTTTAATTCCTTTACATCGCATTTTTTTACAACGAAACGAAAACACATCTCACTGATACGTGTTCTTAATGTGTATTTCTCTTTTTTTTCCCCTCTTTCTTTCTTTCTTTTTTTTTTTTTTTTTATTCTCAATTAGTTTTAACCAAATTACGGAAAGTATTTAAAGGAAAAAAAAAAAAAAGAAAGGACGAAAGTATTTAGAGGGGAAAAAATTTTAACGTTTAATTTGTTCACAATGTCGAAAAAGATAATATCTTTGAATATATTAATAAATATTTGATAAAATCATGAAATATTTCTCAATAGATTTTTCTATTATTTCGAACGAACGAAATATTTGATCGACCCTTCATTTATAATCAACCTGTATAAATATATACATACATATATATATATATATGTATATATATATATTTATATATATATATATTATACAAACCTATGTAATAAATATTTGTCTTTCACCATACATACTTCATATACATACATATATACATATTATTAATCCACCTGTACGAAAATACAATACTCTTGGTGAATAATATTCCTGGTGAATAATGCTAGTAGCAGACAATCGAACATTATGGCAAATATGCCAACAGGCTAGGATAGCCTGTATTATACATATCTAACAAATCTAATTTACGTCGATACGTTCAAAATGATCACGTTTACGAAGAACATTTCGAAAATTGACAATGGAGACGAATGAATTTTAAAGAATATCAAAATACAAATGAATTATATATATATATATATATATATATATATATATATATATATATATATATATACAGGGTATCCAGAAAGTATGAAACAAAACTTATGCTACTTAATTATTGAGATTAAATGGATGAACAAAATTTATATAAATTTAGGTCCAAAAGTAGCATTATTGAAAACATATATATATAGATACATATAGAATAATTCATAAATTAATTAAAAGTAATGATAAAGTT